GAACCACCTCACCAGATCACAGAAAGTGAGCCCGGCAACCCTGTGGAGAAACCTCATTTCGGCCCCTTGTACCCGCGATCTCATCCTTTCGGTCATTAACCAAAGCTCATGACAATAGATGAGGGTGAGAACGTAGATCGACCTGTAAATCGAGAGCTTTGTTCGAGAACTCAGCTCCCGCTTCACTACCATGGAACGGTACAGTGCCTGCATCACTGCGGACGCAGCACTGATCAGCCGGCCGATCTCTCGCTCCCACTTATCATCGCTCGCGAAAGAGGCCCCGAGGTACTTAAACTTCTACACGAACGATGTGAGCACATCATTTGCAACTTGCGCACCAATGCCAAAACACCATCACCAAATAATAATGTGTTTTAATATGTCCGTGGAGGTTGTTGTTTTTGTTATTGTACAGCTCTCCAATGTGTTCCTGAATAAGCCTACACCATGCAAAACAAAACGTCAGACATCAACATGTCGAACAACACGCGGCACAACCCAAAAAAATATTGGAAAGGTAATATATGTGCATGTATATGTTATCCATTGTGGCATGAGAATGCCACTGATAAGCCCCGTCATTAACATACCACCTTTCCACACTCCAAAATGCTTATCAGCTGTTGCAGATTGCGGGGTACATTATCTACTTTGTACACGCCTCGCAGATGCTGCACGTGAGATAGATACAGTGAGGGAAAAAAGTATTTGATCCCCTGCTGATTTTGTACGTTTGCCCACTGACAAAGAAATGATAAGTCTATCATTTTAATGGCAGGTTTATTTGAACAGTGAGAGACAGAATAACAACAACAAAATCCAGAAAAAACGCATGTCAAAAATGTTATAAATTGATTTGCATTTTAATGAGGGAAATAAGTATTTGACCCCTCTGCAAAACATGACTTAGTACTTGGTGGCAAAACCCTTGTTGGCAATCAAAGAGGTCAGACGTTTCTTGAAGTTGGCCACCAGGTTTGCACACATCTCAGGAGGGATTTTGTCCCACTCCTCTTTGCAAATCTTCTCCAAGTCATTAAGGTTTCGAGGCTGACGTTTGGCAACTCGAACCTTCAGTTCTCTCCACAGATTTTCTATGGGATTAAGGTCTGGAGACTGGCTAGGGCACTCCAGGACCTTAATGTGCTTCTTCTTAAGCCACTCCTTTGTTGCCTTGGCCGTGTGCTTTGGGTCATTGTCATGCTGGAATACCCATCCACGACCCATTTTCAATGCCCTGGCTGAGGGAAGGAGGTTCTCACCCAAGATTTGACGGTACATGGCCCCGTCCATCGTCCCTTTGGTGCAGTGCAGTTGTCCTGTCCGCGTAGCAGAAAAACACCCCCAAAGCGTCATGTTTCCACCTCCATGTTTGACGGTGGGGATGGTGTTCTTGGGATCATAGGCAGCATTCCTCCTCCTCCAAACAGGGCGAGTTGAGTTGATGCCAAAGAGCTCCATTTTGGTCTCATCTGACACAACACTTTCACCCAGTTGGCAAACTTCAGACGGGCATGTATATGTGCTTTCTTGAGCAGGGGGACTTTGCGGGCGCTGCAGGATTTCAGTCCTTCACGGCGTAGTGTGTTACCACTTGTTTTCTTGGTGACTATGGTCCCAGCTGCCTTGAGATCATTGACAAGATCCTCCCGTGTAGTTCTGGGGTGATTCCTCACCGTTCTCAAGATCATTGCAACTCCACGAGGTGAGATCTTGCATGGAGCCCCAGGCCGAGGGAGATTGACACTTCTTTTGTGTTTCTTCCATTTGCAAATAATCGCACCAACTGTTGTCACCTTCTCACCAAGCTTCTTGGCAATGGTCTTATAGCCCATTCCAGCCTTGTGTAGGTCTACAATCTTGTCCCTGACATCCTTGGAGAGCTCTTTAGTCTTGGCCATGGTGGAAAGTTTGGAATCTGATTGATTGATTGCTTCTGTGGACAGGTGTCTTTTATACAGGTAACAAGCTGAGATTAGGAGCACTCTCTTTAGTAGCACTCCCTTTAGGAGTGTGCTCCTAATCTCAGCTCGTTACCTGTATAAAAGACACCTGGGAGCCAGAAATCTTTCTGATTGAGAAGGGGTCAAATACTTATTTCCCTAATTAAATGCAAATCAATTCATAAAATTTTTGACGCGTTTTTCTGGATTTTGTTGTCGTTAATATGTATCTCACTGTTCAAATAAACCTACCATTAAAATTATAGACTGATCATTTCTTTGTCAGTGGGCAAACGTATAAAATCAGCAGGGGATCAAATACTTTTTTTCCCTCACTGTACACTCATCGCCGACATTTTCCATGTTATGACCACAACATTCTCACTGGGCGAGTGGTCCAAAAAAACATGCACGAGAAGTTCGGAATGAATATGCGTGAAGGCTTAATACGCGCAATTCGGTTGTAGTAATGTGCACATTAAGCGTACACGTTAAGTACATATGTTAAGTAAATGCACATACAGTATTTATTTTAAAATTATGTTTAGAAGCATGTATAAAACATAAATGTTTTGTCCTTTTCTCTTAAACACATTATTAAGGGCTCGTATATAGGAAACTAACATGCCTGGAGAACACCCAAGTTTCTGAGCAATAACAAATGCCACGCAAATACATAACAAACATACGTTGTTCAATTCTCCATTTGCAGGTGTCTTACCAATGAATTTAATCTTACACAGGATCCATCTATGCATGGTCCACCATCCCCACCTCCAAATTACCGTGCGCTATGAAAGCGACATTGCAATCTATGGTATTTGTAGGTGGTAAAAGTGCAGCTCTGCAATAGCTTGCTCATACCACCGTTGACAGAAGGGCGTTCACTAGAAGGAGTTCTAGAGAAGCTCTCCAGAGGAATTTATGGCCTACTCTTCGAGTCAGGAGTGGAAATTCTACATTCACAATGCTATGGTCATTCTGCTCGAGGGTATTGTAGCCTATTCTTCCACACGAGCTAGATCTCTTAGAATATGCCACCACATTCGACCGGCCGATACAATTACTTTGGTGTACCCTTTCATTCTGCTGGGTGGACAGAGGCGGGATCATTTAAGAGACGTAGCCATTGTTTCAACTACCGTGCAGGGACAAGAACCGGCGACTTCTGAATTGTGCTTAACTTTACACCATACCAACATATAAGCATGGCATACTCTAGCGATTAACAATAATATAGGATCTGCATTATCGAGCAGAATATACGCTTTGGTATTTTTTTTTATCAAGATTACCATACAGCTGAGGAAATCAAATGGTGACCTGTTTAAAAAAAATATACTATTTCGGTTGTGAAAATGCAAAACCATCGAGGCTGCCTGGCCACTTATGCGGATGAATGATACAATTGCAAAATAATTCATAATAAAGGTTTTTGGGTTAGATCGCGTTATTTATAAATGTGTCGTAACCCTCCACCACCCGACACGGCCAATCAGCAAAAAAGTGTCACGTTGAAAAAAGACAAATAGTTCACTACTCTAACCCACCGGTGTGTTGAAGAGTGAATCCACAACATTTACAGTTTGAGTACGACGTTTCGCTGGAAATTACATCCAGGGGAAACACATACTAATTAACGGATTACTAACGTCCCATATAATCACAATAACACACATTACAACTAATTACTAATCTACAACTCATTACTAATCATAACCATTGACTGATTACCAATCGATTATATAATTACAATACCCCCCTCCGCCTCAAATCACTGCACATTAATTAGTTAAATGATGACGTCACCCTGCTGCTCTATTTAAGCCCGGGAGCATGTGAGGGCTTTACCATTCTGGCGAATTGCCCGATGATGCTGGATGTGATTACCAGCGAAACGTCGTACTCAAACTGCAAATGTTGTGGATTCATTCTTCAACCCACCCGTGGGCTAAAGTATTGAACTATTTGTCTTTTGTCAACGTGACACTTTTTTGCTGATTGGCCGTGTCGGGTGGTGGAGGGTTACGACACATTTATAAATAACGCGATCTAACACAAAAACCTTTATTGTGAATAATATTGGTCGCGAAAGCCTACGTGTTAAACTGCAAAAGAATGACGAACCATACGAGGGAGAGATGAAAGATGACACATTCAGTCTCTTGCAGCAGGAGTTCTAGGGGAGACATTGCAGACCTCCAGGCATGGGCGACAAATTGATGTTAAGTTGTTACAATGGGTAAACTCTGGAGTGTGTCACCCACATGCCGATTGATCCAAATTGATGTTAAGAGTGTTGAAATAGGCTAAGCGTGCAGTGTGCAGCCCAGCATCGCGATTGATCGAAAGGTCTGCTTGCCTGCTCTCAAAGTCTAATCAGACCAATGACTAATAGTGGCAAATGTACCACTTACTTTCCTGCTGGTTCAACAATTTGCAAAGTCTAATATTTGGCTTATAATGGCATATACGGTTATACAAAAGAAAAAAAAAACTTGAGGCTAATACTAAATATAAATACTTCATATTATTTATCATGGCAAAGCAAAGTGCCCACAAATAAAGATAATAAGGTGGCACTTTTTGGAATTGCTTGCTTGTGTCACTGCTGGCAGAAGGGCCTCAGCTAGAGGGAGCTCCGAAGAGCCCCTCGAGGCAGTATTTGGCCACTCTCCCACACGTGACAGACATCCTGGAAGATTTGCGAGTACCTCCTTGCCGATCGACTAACTCTGGGTCACCATTCAAACTGCCAGGTGCACAATAGAGAGCTGATAAACGTGCCCATTGCTTCAAATGCTTCGCCGAGAAAACGGCGCGACCTCGAGATTGCAAGTCGAGCGGGCTAACCGTTTCACCATAGCAGCACCTCCTATGTAAAAAATATATATCGGACAACCCCCCCCCCCCACTACTTGTTCCCTCTTTTATTGACGACAATTTTGCAAGCTTTGTAAAAGCCACAGTGTGTTGTTTGCAGGCTGACGATGTAAGATAAAGTGAGAACGGGCACACTTTGTGATTGAGATATCGGTATTCGTAGCTGCCATGATAATTTTCCACTTTATTTGAATACATTTTTTTGTTACGGTTTACGACAAATAATTTTACCAATGACACTTTTTATACATTTCATTATATTAATGTGAAAAATAATGTTTATTGTAATATATACATTTTCCCAGTTGTACATTGCATAGTTAAAAGACAGAAACCATGATAACCCTTTGTAAATAAACATTGCGCTTTATTAAAACGTGTCTAATTATATTCAGGGAATGTTTATTACATGGGCTGTCTGCAATCAACACCGAGCATATGGTACGCATGCTTCAAAATTAACACTACAAAACGTAATTATTTATATTTTTTCAAACAATATATACACTGTATGTGAATAATGTTTCTGTATCTTACGTGCTCAAGTTACAGAGGGTAAAGGAGTGCAAGATAGCCTATACATTCTGCTAAACATAACATTGAGTTTTATAATAAGAGTATGAAGAAGGGCAGCACGAAAAAAAGAATTCTGTAAAGGGCCTTTTTTGATGCCTTGGATCTGACGCCCATGCTTGAACCTGAGAAAACAGGCGGGCAGACGGTGCGAGCTTGCAGTCAAATGGGTGAAATTGTTATGCATTTCAGCGCAATATCTTCAAACGGCAGCATTCATCGCAAATCAGCAGCGGGTTACAGGTTGTACACATCAATCACCATGTTAAAGGGGTCTATAGGTCCTTACCATGGCAACACGTGCCGTACTATGGTATGGATGTACCGAGACGTTTCACGGCTTTGACTTTTGAGCGTGAGTTGAACAGCATGTGAATTCACGATATGACGGATGATGAGTTCCGATGAGAATCGGCTCAATTTTTAAATGGAAGAGGCTCAAATATGTCTTGCTTGATTTGCATTTGGTGTCACGTCTTTAATTACGCTACAAATATTGTAATGCGCATTGTTATTGATTCCCCCCCCCCTCAACTCTCTTTAACCTAATCTCTACCCCCAATCTTCTCTTCCAATGAAATGTTTTTTTTCTTGCCATTGCTCATGACTGATTGGATCCATGCTCTCATACTGTACATTTCAAAAGAACAATGGAACAAAGTGAACGTCGCACATGGGAATACCAGCGCGTCAAATTCAGTATCACAGCTTGATGCAATTCCTTCGCAAACGACATCATCATATCCGGAGAAAGAACTATCTTTCAATTGCGCACGGACATCGTGCAGTATTTATTGCAAATTGACGGACGGCAGGTAACATGCCACGTAAGTGGTCTTGATTTCGCAAGCGAAAAAAAAACCGGTCACATTGAAATTCCATATACCTACAAGCGTGTTCCCTCAGTCCACGCTTGAATGCTGATGTGTTGATAAAGTTCTGAATATATGATAAGATTATGACACAGACAGGCAAGCTCCCCCTGCTTATATCTCGGCAAGAAGTGTGCCAAGGTCTGAATGCTTATCCTCCCTCATCTTCCCACTATACGCTTAGTCTTGAACCCTCTTGCACTCTTGGTCTCTTCTCAGAAAAGAGATTGACCACTGTCTCTTAGGAAATGTTCCTTAAATGATGGGCGGTTTTTTTTTCTCAGTGGCATCTGCCCATTCTAACTACTAAACTACACTAGTTTCCACTGACCTAAATGTTAAAAGCACTCCCGATGCCAGCGGAGTTATACAGCTGCAACACTTATGCCCATAAACACACGCCACCATGCCATAAGCATCACATTTAGAAGATGTTTTAAAATGCAATGCATTTAGTTGAATCAAATGCATGAGATCACTTCTGCAATACACATAACCAGTGTTGAAATTCCGAGGAAGTAAACCAACATAATTCAATTTGTTTTCCAATATACTCGAGAACAAGTATAATCACAAGCAGGAATACTTTGCAAGGGTTTTACTGAATTTACTTGTGACTTCTGTCAAAATATGCACTTATTACATATTTAATTCAAATGTATGCAACTGGATGATAGGTTTATCAGTGCGTTTGGCACTGCAATGGCAGATTTGAAAAAATACGTTTCCAATCACATCTCCATATCAACACTGAGTTATATGATTAAATTAGTTGTTCCAGCACATGCAACCTAATTAGCCTGGCTATGCCTTTGTGCATTAAACCTACGATTTTTTTTCCATATTAGTAATGGCCTATTGACCTTTGATTATTAGTATTACCATTATCAGCCTTGGTCAATCTACTGCTGGATAAAGGCCTTGAAGTTGTTCGATTACGTTGATAATAATGTAACAGACAGACCTGACCGAACACGGGGATTACATTCTTGAAAAATGCCGTGTTGGGAGAAAAACGTTTTCGACAAATATTATACTGTTATGGTAAAACTAGGGTTGCGTTCCTGTGTCTGAAATTATCACCCCCTCTTTGTTTAACTAACTCTAGATGACTTCCACCATTGTTGCTCTACTAAAGGAAGCCGGGTCGCTCTTTCGTTTATTGTGTGTATGCTCTCTCAATTTCACCTCAACACAAAATCGCCGTCTCCATTCTGCGGCCTGCACAACGGCACTCGTGCCCAGTGCTTACCCCTGACACTGTGACTTGAATGGAAGTGGTTCGCAATCCGGGCATCCGTATGACGAACACCCTCAAGGAGTGGACGGCAAGATCCATGCAAGCAATGTCTGAACTTCCCATTGTATGTCTTGAATGAGTTGCATTATCACGCAAAAATAAACATTTTGTTTGCATGTTCACCACAAGTATATGTGGTTAAGGCAGACATGATTCCTTGCAAAATGTTTGTTTGGTGTTTTAACATCTTAACACCTGTTATATTACTCATTGGTTTTTTCGGTAAAGTCACGTATGTAGAAATACCATAAAATTCTATTAAAATAAATCAATCACGACGTTTCGACCACAACACAAGCGATCTTCATCAGGTGTAAAGAACAAATCATGGAGGTAAATACAACAAGAAGATGAGAGACGAGGATTCAACAAACCTAAGCAAAAATTTTACACTCCTCTGAAATTCGTGGTCTGCCAGGTAAGTGTCTAACTGTGTTGTTGGCCTGACTGGTTGTGCTTCACATAATTTTTTCTTAGGTTTGTTGAATCCTCGTCTCTCATCTTCTTGTTGTATTTACCTCCATGATTTGTTCTTTACACCTGATGAGGATCGATTGTGTTGCGGTCGAAACGTCGCGATTGATTTATTTTAATATAATTTTATGGTATTTCTACATACGTGACTTTACCGAAAAAAAACAATGAGTAATTTTACACAGTCACGAAAGCTTTAATTCTTTATTAACCTGTTATATTGCCAGAAAGGCTAAAACCTATTCTTATATATTTTCATAAAAAGAAACATGCCCGAAAGCACGCATGGTAAATAAATAATTGTCACAGTAAATAAATTCACACCATCCAACAGATGTAGCACACACTCGGCACCACTTTTCGATGCGGAGATGAGAATCTCAGCATCAAGCCGCGTAACAGCCGAAACATCACCCCCATTTTCAGGAAAATATACCTAATTAGGTAAACTATCTAGAGCTGAAACATGCGTTTGATAAAGCCGCGTTGGGAAAGGTTTTCCTGCATTAACTTGGTGTTGCAAGTAGTTTACGAGAAGTCAATATTAAGTTATACTATCGTGAATATTACTACCATACATTCAATAGCAACTTAGTAGTGCTATGCCGATGTCTTGTGGCTCTCTGTTTTCTTGGACATTGGCTGGCTTCGACCCCAAAGAGCTACGACGAGACACTTCACCGGCCATGATTTTGGCACTCGTAATGGCCGACAGCACGAAAATTCACATAAGCGAACACAGATCTGACAGCAGCTGTGGCATCCGAAAATTGACCACTCGAACACCTTCATGACTAAATGGGGTCTTACAAATGAGGATCAAATGTACTGCCTAGATATAATCAGAGTCTCTACTACTTGGCGATGCGATATCAGACCAGTCGGTATAGAAGAGTGGGAGTTCTTCTCTGCTGGTGTTGGCTGAGAGAATGGGTGAATGGAAGCCCGTCATCAAGGGAGTAGCAGTTATTTGGGGTAGGTCTTGATTGCCATAAATTGCTGGTCACTATTGAGGTTTTCGTGACTGCAAGGATCCATACTCTTTGGTTATATTCGGTAAAGTCACGTAGGTAAAAATAAGGCTACTTGTGTTGTGGCCGAAACGTCGTGATATAACCAATATAAAGTTCAAGTATCTCAGGGTTTTACTAAAAAAAAAGAGGGACAATAGGATTAGAATATTGAATTTTAAACAGATTGGTGCAGTCAGTGCTGTCTCCTGAATTTAATCTTCGTTTTTTAACGTTGTCCTATGGTTGTTAAACACTGCGGAATATAACTAAGTGAGATTTCTAGTACGGTACAAGCAACGAGAACGGTGACTGGGCTGACAAGGTTTCACAAGGTCAGATATTGAGTGATTTGAGATTCACTGCATGTCAAGCTATTCTATCTCAACATAAAGAGGTCCCTAATTTAATGGTCTCAACATGTGTCTAGAACACTCAAAAGATAATGCTCTATGAATCAACCACCCACAGACATGACAACGACCTCGAACAACTTGGTAAAAACAATCTACAAGTTCGACTGATGTTTTTTTTCTGAATTGTAGACAAACATTGAGGCGAAAGAGCAGGAAAAGCAAGGTGAAAGGAAAAGTTGTTCAAAAAAATAATGAACTTTTTATGAAGCAAGTAAAAGGCAAGTCGTTTTTTTCCGTTGTATTCCATTCTGAAAGCGTTGATCACTTACAATATATCTACTTCTATAGTTGAATTTCTGGTTGATGCCAAAAAAACATTAAATTCAAGAACAACCACCAGTGCTACAGTATTAATTAAAACCCCTCCCTCGCAACAAATACTCACACAAGTGTAAGTGTTGTTAACATTTTTTCCAACAGCATGACTTTCGCTGCACAAAAAACCATAACACTCAGTCCACTCATGATTGTGCATGACAAAGTCGTGCACACTATAGACAAAGTATTAAAAACAAATTACAATAACGAAAGTACGATATCTCTTTTAAATTTTAATAAAAAATCTAATATTCCTTTAAATTGCATTATCCAAGTCTTCATCATGCTCATTTTATGATTAATGAAAGTCACGCAAATGTTATTAGGTCTTTGTTTTGGGTGTAATTTTAGATGGGAATGTTTAAATGAGTTAGGGTGGATGACACCACAAATGAATATTAGATCCAGGTAAAGCTCTGGACTGAATTAAATTATTGTCTTGGAGACCACTTATTTCCTGCTTGGTTTAGGAAGCCCATTCACCTTGCTTCTACAGCAATAAGCATCCGAACTTACAGCAATGTGTGTATGCAATTACCAAACGTACATCCTTTCTGAAATAATACATTTAAATTCACACTCACATTGTTGCTGTAAGCGTACGCTTGCAGAATTCATCCCAACTCCATTCTGTGCAAAGCAAGTAAAGGTGTAGCCAAGATGGTTGGGCTGTACTTTGTTGATTGTCAATGTCCTTTCAATGACAGAACAAGTCTCATTGGAGGACACATTCCTGTACGCACAGTACAAAACGGAACAAAATTGCAGAATTAGTTTTTATTTCGTGACATTTTCCTTACCCATGTAATTTGCCAAAACAACAACACCAACGTTTGTTTTGCCTGTGTGTTATCGTTGTGTCTTCACCTTCGACATTACCAGAGTACAATGCAAATCAAATGCGACGTTAAAATTTAAATCTGCTGTAACTTTGTAAAGCAGACAAAGCAAAACAACAGAGGAAGCTGTGCAATACAGCCTCCCTATGACTCAAGAGTCAGGTGTATGTGGGGGTACATGCTTGGGGATTTTTGTGGTATTTTTTCGAGTGAAAAGAAGAAATGGGAAAATGATCCTGATTGGTGAAGCTTTTTTGTGACTTAAAACAAGATGCAAATCGAGTGACATTTTCATTAGTTTGGTAATAACATCCTTTTTTTAATGCCACAATATAGATGTTTTTTAATGTTGTGGATTCGCTCTCCAACACATCGGTGTGCTGTACTTGTAACGAATTGGCATGTTCTGTTTACGTGACAAACCTTACTAGTTGGCTGTGTCGGGTGGTGGCCAGTTTAACGACATTTAAATTTACTTGATCTAACCCAAAAACCTGTATTATGCACAGTGTAGAAATTGGTAATCCTGTGAACACTTGCAAATAGAACCTTGTGGTTGTGTATTTGAACGTGTGTAAATGAACAATTTGGGGAATCACCAACAGTATATGCTACGTCTGAAACCTCCAAATAAATAGTTAAACTTATAGCAACGCTTTATAAAGTCAAAGTGTCCCCTTGAAAATGCACCAAAATCTCAAAACATGCACATATGTAAACGCATTGATATAGTTAACACAAACAATGTGACTATTGCGTAATTGCCAGTGCGTAAGCACAAATAACAAAAAACTCACATTCGTCAATAACACTACCCCAAAAAGGAACAATTATTTAATAGGCAAAGTGTTGGGCACTGGCTCATCTTTCTCCTATGATGAAGGCCTACTCACTGCCCTAAATGTGGGCACGGTTATGTTTGATCTGTGTGAGTGTTGAGATGACAATAAATTCAATCTGTATGGATTTGGTGGGTGTGGCAATGACACAAGAAGGGAGGCAATTGTAATTTCAGCGGTGGATATACAGATTTGCATTGCATGGGACATACTTTATAGATATTGACCACTGGTAAAGTAACGATTGTTGATAATTAATCTTCTGTAATTGAAAACAAATAATGTTAGGATGATATATAAGGTAGCCTCATGTAAAAAGGGTGCTTCTGAATGCAATCTCTACTTTGTGCCTTGAGATAGCCGCAAGCAAAGCATTGCACCAAGCACATCTCTATAGAAATGGGCCCCACAAATACAGCTCTGCATCCCACAGGGGTCTTCTACGTGGCAAGACAATTTGGTATAAAGAAAATGGCCACGAGGCAAAGGATAACAGAGACACATGCCATTTAATGTCTACATCTTCGTTTTTATGTGCAGCCATTGTATTGGCTTGTAATGCCCATTAGGACATGATGCACACTGAGAGCACGGATATGATAGATTGGAGTGTCCTTGTGTGTGTTATGTACACATTATAGATTTATATGCTTTTCTACAAATACGCCAGGGTGTTTGTGGTTGTTGCAATAGCCCCTTAGCCTCCCACATCTCTCTCTCGAGAGACGTGTAATTGGACAAAAAATACATTGTGTTTTAATATTTTATAAATACAATATTTTAAGACGTAAAGTCAACCCAATCTATTACAGAATTTCATGCAATGCTTCTGCCATATATACACTTGACATAGAACTGTATTTGAAATGTGAATACTGTATATGTTGTAATTAAAACATAAATACTTCTACGTTTGATTCCAGGCCATGGCTAAAAGGTCTAACACCGTTTGAGACGAGGCTAAAAAGAAAGCTGTCTCTGGTGTGGACCAATCAGTCTCAAAGACAATGCATATATTATCAGAGTATGTTTTTTGTTTGCATTCTGACCACAAGCATTGTGGTTAATGCAGACATGATTCCTTGTAAAAGGTTTCAGTTTGGTGCTTTAACATCTTAACACCTTGATTTGAAGCTTTCGTGACTTCAGGAATCCATACTCTTTGGTTTTTTCAGTAAAGTCACGTAGGTAGAAAGATAATAGATCAGGACGTTTCGATCGCATCACAAGCAATCGTCATCAGGTGGGACAACCACAGCAAGCAAAAGCTGCTGAAGTAGGCGAGAGATCTGCCGTGGCACGAGGTTATATAGTAGGCCACGGCAGTAGGGGGGGAGAGAGAAGGGGGGGGGGGGGGAAGGAGGCGGGGCAGAAAGTTGACCCCGCAGCAGCACCCGGGTCACTGGAGTAAAGTGGACCACCGTAGCAGCACTGGACAGGTCGGCTGCAGGGGGGGGGGGAGAGAAGGGGGGGGGGGAGGCGGGGTCCATTTTCTGCCCCCCCCCCCTCTCTCTCCCCCCCACTGCCGAGGCCTACTATATAACCTCGTGCCACGGCAGATCTCTCGCCTACTTCATCAGTTTTTTTCTTGCTGTGGTTGTCCCACCTGATGACGATTGCTTGTGTTGTGATCAAAACGTCGTGATCTATTATCTTTCTACCTACTGTAAGTGACTTTACCGAAAGAACCAAAGAGTATCTTAACACCTGTTTTGTTGCCAGAAAAAAAGGGGAAAGCCCTATTATTATACTACACTGTTTTTATTTTACCAGGTAAAGCCAACTGAGCTAAACAACTATTTTTCAGGAGCGATCTGACCACAAATGATAGCTCAACAAAGTGGCTCATCACGTGGAAATGTACAGCAGCCAAATCCTCGAAACGCATGTTTCTAAATGCAGAGGGGAAACCCGGTGGACCTGGAGAAAAATCGACGTGACCACGGGGAGAACATGCAAAGTCCCAATATACAGGCGTCTGGGTCGGGATTGAACCCCCAATCTCTAGTATACTCGGCGAGGTAGTTAACATCTCGCCAGCGGGGCACCCCAATTTTACTATCTTTACGTGTTTATGTATTCACATGCATGAATAATCTTAACACATACATGCTTACAGACACATGCAAGACAATATGTAAAAATTGTGATGGGAGAGGTAAAAGCAATTATTTCAAATTTATCCAATGAAATCCGCTACATCTACCATATGCAAGGTCGATAAGCATTTTTCAGAGATGTAATTTCTTTCTCATTGAAGACTAGGTAATGTTCAGAAGCAATTGCAGTTGCGATATTGCAGGTGTCACTTCATCTGCGGAATGTGCACGGTTTGCTAATGTTGGCCTCGGCATTTGGTAAGGTCCCACAATGGCTTCTCGCGAACCCCATAATTTTGTTTTCACATAAATCGCGCATTTGTACCAGTATGTACAGTAAACGTGAAACGGTGTGAAAATGCACCTTGAATAATGACAACTTTAAAATTAGAGCCGCAACTATGCATGTCCCTGCTCACACCACTGCTGCCGCAAGGGTCTCCACAAGAAGGGGCTCTATGAAACCTCTGGAGAGGGAATTTTGGCCCAGTAATCCATGATGGCCAGACATCTTAGAAGAGGTGGGAGTATTCACACTTTACCCCACCACATGTGACCTGTCAATCGCCGAACTGTGGTGCACCCATTTATACTGGTGGGTGTACAAAAAACCTGCCCATTGTTTTGACTGCCAGGTCGGCAGGTCGAACCAGCAACCTCTAGATAGCAAGTCCAGTGTGGTACTCATTAAACCACGGCAAAATCATTATTAAATGCATACAAATGTGGGATATATGTCCAGAAGTCATTCAGAATCAGTGGACAAGGACTACAACCCAACCAGTGCTATTTTTTTTATAAGTGCTAGTTTTATCATACAATTGCTAAAACAAAGTACTATAATTTAAATAATGTGCAACCTTGCACGGTAAGTTTTTTTCATATTGCAAGGTATGCCATGGCATCTTGTTTTCATAAAGAGACATTTGTATGCATTGTGTGTGCTCACAGGGTATTCTGTATATCCCACATTAAGGCTCTAAATTAATCGCGAAATAAACCTGTAATTAATGTGGCATCAAGAAAGTCCACTTCCCGGTAAATGCTTTTATGATGTTTGCTGAAAGCCATTTTTATGAAAAACACTGCCCACAACGCTGACAAATTTGAACCAAATTTTGAAAATGCCCACCATCTATCGAAGTATGGTCATGGCAAATGCACCTGCATCATTATTTAAACTCACCCATTTCTGCTGTTTCTAAATTATATACATTCTCAGTGAACTGAAATTATTAAAGTGTTCTCATGTCTTTTCATGTCTATGTGCGTGTTTTGTAAAATGGCTTTTTTAATCATAGCATGTTTTTGTATGCATCTATGTGGTATGTCCCTTCTACAAATCACCTTTGACCTTCCCACTCATCTTGTTAAACTCCTGATTTATTCTTAGAAAAATGGCCGAGAGAAAATGTATTTCCTGAGAGGTTTAGAAAATGCTTTTACGTACATTATTTTCATTTATCAAAAACAGCCACCTAGTGTACGTAATGGATCACCAATTTACTTAAAAGCGAACTCATCATTTAAACAGACCCGTACACATACTTGAGCGTATGAATTCACGACCGTATGAATGCATACAAAGCTTGTGCGCACATGTTATAGGTTTCGATATATGCCACATGTGCGCAAAAGCACATACACACAGGGACATGACCGCACCACAAAAACGAAGAGACAACACTGCACCACAAAGATAATGCTCATTTGAGCAAAAAATGACTTCGGCTTTTTTTTGGTTGACAGAGATAAAGCCTACAACCGCAGGTTTTTTTTTTCCTGTTTTGTGCCTTCAGTGATCTGGAATCATCCCAATGTGCCCGAAGAAGAAAGGGCTCACAACATTACTTTTCACCCACTATGACATATATATTGGAAACATTGACGCTGGCCAAGTGAAAGTAAAGCTGAAAACTATGAAAATTAACAAGAATGTTTTCAGTTACAATGAGAGACAGAAGAGGAACACACAGCTCAGAAAACAAATACAAAATAAAAAGTACGTGGATTTGGGGAGACTATATCGCTGGAAGAAATAATGGATGATGGTCGAGACTGACAATGGAATGGCTAGCGCCAAGGAAAAATACACCTAAGAGGAAGCCCTATTATTTGAGAGACACAGTGATGAGCTGAGCGCACGTGCAGGAGCGAGATGGACTGGGATCGTGAGACTGTGAGGGATAGTAATGAATTGGGGAGACCTTCGTTCGAGCTGATGATCATGGTGATGAGCAAATCTAGCAAGAGCCTTGCACACCAATTACTTTTTACATTTACGAATAAGAAGGATGTGATGCATAAATTAATCAGAAACACAAGATGAAAGTATGACTGTTAAAAACAACAAAATAAACATTTCTAGATTTAAAGCTTTCGTGACTGCTAGGACCCATACTCTTTGGTTCTATTGGGTAAAGTCACGTAGGTGAAAATAAAATGATGATGAAGGCCGCTTGTGTTGTGGCCGAAACGTCGTGATTTTTTGTTATTTTATTTTCACCTACGTGACTTCACCCAAAATAAACATTATTTAAAATTAGTAGTGTTTGCCTGGACATCAATTATCAAGATGTTTGTCACATGTTCTTGGGGTCAGGATTCAAACACTAGCATATACATTATCACGTGCAGGTTTTAACTTACAGTGGTTTTGTGGTGCAGTTTATGTATGCTGAACTTCTTTCGCACCTTATGTAAGCATTACGATGTGTGGTGCTCAACAATTACTGCATGCCACGGTGGGTACTGTGTGGCACATGGTGTATCTAAGGCACACGCGTGATAGCGCCAGAGTTTGAATGCACAATATTTACACGGAAAGTCATGGGGTGTTAATAAAAGGATGTTATCACGACACAGCTTAAGAAGCAAATTTCACCTGTAACTGCTCTCAATTAGGCCGTTTTCTTCATGATTGTCCTCAATGAAAATTCCATTGGATGTCCACCACACCAGAGGATATAAATCGTGGCCAAGGTTGTACATAACCTTGCAAGTTATGTTTACTGCCTGACCTGCAATAGCCAATGAATGATCAGGAATACAGCACTGTATAAATATATACACATACAAATGTAATACAATATAATAAAAAAAACATACAGTGTGAGCTATGTTTGAAAAAACGTATGATAAATAGAAGTGATCTTAGTGAAGTTTTCCTGCATAAACAAAGGACATTATTCGTAATATTATTACTACAGCATTTAAATGTCTTTATCATTTATACAAGATTTTACTACAATCTGTGAGATTACTAATGCGATGCTCTGCATGATGATGAGGTGGATGACATTCATGGTGATGGTGGTAGGGAATGGTGGTACAGTGGTTAACAAGTGATATCAGAATCTGTCCTGCCCTCCTCTATAAAAGCTCTGAGCTTCATCCAGACCACCAGCTGAAAATAACTAAATAAACAAATACCTGGTGAAGTGTGTGAATATCAGCACTAGCAAAACAAATGTGGTTGGTTGCTGTGCGAATCACACTACACCCTCACTAACAGATTTTGCCCCAAAATTATGTATAGCTACACAGGTGATACTGTTTTTGTCTGTCTTGGGTTGCGGGATGGTGGTATAATATAAATATTCTGGGCTACAAATTTCATTTTAAATTTTCTTTCCTAATACTCCCTTCTATTGCTAGTTCAAAGCCTTTCTGGAATTGCAAATATAAGACCTGATATTACAATTCCACAAAAAACCAATCCGATACAAATCATTCCTAATCAGAATTTACATTCCCATCCACTCTGTGATTGAGACCCACGTGCAGTTATGCGCTTCATTTTCAGAGTGCGCTATTCAAATGCAGTCCATTTACAAACACCTACAAGAGTCCATTAGCAAAATACAATATCATCACGTTTCCGTGAAAACGCCACAGGTGGTCCTGACCTATATATTTAAGTGTCTGCATAACAATGCATTCCTGTGTTTCAACCGGCATTAGTTCTCCACCAAAGCTTTGTTACAGTGCTAGAGAGTGATTTTCAGAGGCTTCATCTTCCTCACCAATAGGATTTTCACAATATATGTTTTTCCCAACACGATATTAGTTTTAATCATATGATGCTTACCATGATATCAGTTTCCGATATCTTTGTAATTGTAGATCACATTATTTTTGTATTGTGTTTGTGCTTTGCTGTAAGTCTAGTATGAATAGTTATGCAGCTGCAGATCACTCAACATAAGCCTTGCCATGAGTCTCATAATTCACAAACATTTACAAAATAATTAACAGAATGTAAAAAATATGACGTCATATTACTACCATGCCACCACTTACTCCAGAATTTATTTCGCAAAGCATAGACGTTTAATTTATTTATGAGTTTGTTATTTAATAAATAGTTAATCAGGAAAATATTTATTTTGCAATGATAATCACGATATAAAAACTAATTTGCAGAATGGGCGATATGATTATCGTACAATACATCGTAGAATCACCATATCTTGGCAACCCTACTCACCACAATCTGAAACCATAATCAGCAAAATACATGCTCAATTTACTGCTGGATGATTGCTTCTCAATGTTTACATGATCACCCATGGTCATGTTGATGTTCAGATGTGCTGCATATTCGTTGAATTCAATGAACAAGCCACACTTTGGGATTCCCCTGCGATGCGTTCCTTCTTGTTAATGCTATCCCATGAAATATTTACTTATCGATTGTTGTTCCTTTTAGTGACCTACCCAGGCAAAATAGAATATGGTATACAATGAAGGCAATGCCTTCAGTTCTTGTTCACTTTTAAATTCACACATTTCTCATTTCGCCCAACTAAAAAAAAAAAACTTGCTCTTTTTTATTTTACGTCGGATGTTAGCTTCTTGGTACAATATAGGAACTGAGGATTATGAATGAAAGAACATTGAGGGACATTTTCAGCATGCAAATGATGAAAAAATAAGAAGAGGTTTTACCCTTTCTGGTAATAAAACAGGATGTGGTGAGATGTTCAAGCACTAAATAGAAAACTTTTTCAAGGAATCAAATCTGCATGAACCACACATTACTTGTGGTGAACATTCAAATAAAACAACCTTTGAAATGGTCCCATGAGATTATATATACGTTACCTGAAATAATGAATGAATTGTTATTTTAAAAATTGTGATTTTATAAGTTTTCTTGGATGATATCCTATTTCTCCCAACTGCTATTGTTTCTCCATTTCGATTGGTAACAGTTTCACACTTTTGGAACATTGTCAGTAGTATTTAAATGCTAATTAGAATTTTTTACGAGTGATTCACACATGTACTTACCAAGAGAAACGTTTCTGAAATTATTCTTTCGAGGTTGAAGAATTTCAGGCTTTTTTCCCATCACAATTTCTACACGTGAAAATATACATCAAATTAGTTTGAAACACTACGTGTTACCAAAGCAATATTAAAGAAGAAGAAAAAAGTGCAAAACGTAGCTCTCCGTTTTTTTTCTAATCATTAAATAGGCATGCATCAGTTTCGTTCCAAACTGGTTAATTACCTTTCACTTGCAGGCTAAATGTTTTGCTTGCTTTATGATGTCTGCCAAACTTCTGGAAGTGCACTTCACATGTGTATTTCCCCGCATCTTTTACAGTCACGTTGTGGATCGTCAATTCATTCCCTCTGTTCTGCTCTGCACTCGTATCTATGGCACGACAATTCTGCAACAAATAAGCAACAGGAAACCTTTTAAATGGCATTTTACATTAAATACATACATTGAAATGGCGCTTGGCACTCAAACAAATATCGATGAAATACCATTGATCCGTATATTAACTCCCGCAATGTATTGTTGAAATCGTGAGAGCGCACAAAGCCATCACTCTTAACAATAACAAACAACTCACATGTGAGATATGTTGTATATTCATGAGACGTGTATAACAATTAGTAAAATTATTTACATCGGTTATTTTTTGGCTCCGTGTTAAGCATACGACCGCAAGGCGCATCGGAGTAGACTGTATGGACACATCGCTGGAAGAGATAATGGCTGGTGGTCGAGACTACCAACAGAGTGGCAGCCAAAGGCGTGAGAGAACCCGAGAAGCACATTTACTGAGGAGATGGAGCGATGAAATCAACTTGTTGCATCGCAAGGCCATGAGAGGGGACAATGGCTTGGCGAGACATTTGTCCAGCAGTGGAAAGGTCATGGCTGATGATGCTGATGCTGATGATGAAACCATTAAGATTCTTTCGAAATGTACATCTTTTTGCCACAAAAGTGCAAGGATAACCAGTGTTTTTGAAGGATTATCCCATTTTCCCGTGTCTTTCTCAAAAGCCAAACTCTCACAAGGTGACTAAACACAGAGTTGATGCAGTGTTAATGATTACAGATTCTACAGCATTGAATTTAATAATATAATTAATGAACAATTAAAAGCGGATATTTTGTTTATTTCATGAGTAGAGGTTTTGAAAAAGAGCTAACATTTTATTGAACAAAAAATACTCCAAGATGTCACATGGTACAAAAAATTCCATGATTTTATGTAAAAAAGAGCATGTCTGTTAAATGAGTTCACTACATTGCTAACAATGGAGCATAAGTTAAAATATCTTGGCACTCAAACCTAACCTGCAAAATCTGTTTGTAAACAATACACTTATCAGAGGAACCAACACAGTATAGACGTAGTTATACATTGGGTTAAACCAAATTGGTCGGGGGAATTCACAAAGTTGTGACACAAAAACAATGGATAAACACAGCAGAGTGGTTAAAATAAGGGCTATCAGCCTAACCGGTCAGATGATGGCGATGGCAGCGATGATAACGTTTCTTCCAGCAGGAGGTTTGTTGTTTACATAAGTCCTGTGTAACTCATATTGCAGTAAAAACAAATGATGTACAAATAGAGAGTGAATATAAGTGGTGTGCGTTAATACCTTGTACCAAGTGAAGTTTGCATTCTCTGATGACTGAAGAATATCACGTGGACAAAACAAGCGTTTATTCTTTCCACTTTTAGTAAAGCTACTGTATACATTATTTCCACTGTAGCAAAGGCGGTTTTCTCTAATAGCCACTGTGAAGTTAATGCAGGAAATTGCATTTCTGAAACAAAGAAGACAGTTCCGTTCATATGTTAATCGATTAAAATGACTATAATACTTAAAGCACGTAATATAATCTGTACACTAATTATTAAAGAAATGTTTTTTTGTGAAAACACTTGTTTTTTTTTCAAGATTTAAACTGACAAAAAATATATTCGGAATAAGTGTGTGTGTGTGAGTTTGTCTGTCTGTGTAATTGTCTTGTGCAATATCTGGCCTTCAGATCTCTGAGACTCAATAGGCTTAGACTCACTGCAGATGGCAGACGTAAAGCCCTTGATCATCTCTGTGACTTGGTAGAAACCACACGGCGTGGCCATCCTCCACAACGCGGTGCTCTTCGAATGCTAAAGCCCGTTGGCTTGAGGAGTCATTTGAAACCTTGTGCCATCTGACAGCGGTGGCATCGGACGTAGAAATTTCATTTGACAGGTCACACGCTATCATTGATGCGTCACCCTCGAGTGCCTCCACGTGTAATATCTTATCCGTGATGCACACTAAAAGACACACATTGCACCGATTACTAACACGCGGCGCTGGATAAAACATTGCTCTAATGTAACACCGATGCTTGCGTGAATGTGAAATGCGCTTTGTAATGAACTGACCGTGGTTTTTAGGTGTCCTTGTGGACTGGTAGTTGAAGCAGTTGGCTGACATAGACAAGTATAAAATGAAGAGACATGTCCCCATTCTGTTCTTCAGCGTCATCGCAATTTCTTGAACCTGTTGGTGGAACATAGCAATGCATAAAATCACCATGAGCTACAGTCAATTTACTGCTGCATGAATCCCTCTCAAAACCATCGCGAGCTCTCACATCCATCGATGCAGCAATCCATCTAGCACAGTGGTTCTTCTTCTTCTTAACCTGGGGTGCATGCACCCCTTGGGGTGCGAGACATGCCAGATTATTTTCGAAGGTAAACCATCGAAAGCTAAAATAAGCACGGGCACGTAAGTACAACTAACTTTGCTTCATCAAACCTATGTATTTATTAACATTACACATTTTTGTTTTGTTTACGATTAAGAACCAAAGGGGTGCAAGGCTGCAGTCAAGGTTCAGAGCCCACAAACTTTAATCAACTCCGTCTCCTCGGCAGACATCCCCTCGAGCATTTTCCCTACTTTGGCTGCCTCTGTCATGACGCGTGTTAAACTCTGTTCATGCGGCTAAGCTGCAATGTGCAGATATGTGTACAAGACGAGGATCACCTCGTTTAACCTTATAGACCACGTGTCCATACTATGGATTGCAAAGTAAACCACAGAAGTCTGCGCTCCTTGAATGTAGGAATATCAATACTATACCAACTCTCATCCGTAAAGCCGCGACATGGCTATCAGACCTCGACATTGGCATTTTAGCTCCTGAAAACATATTGCCATACGCACAAATAGAATATACCACGGGAGGAAACTCCCGTGGTATATAGTGACCGCCTATCGTGGGAAGCAAAGGATACAACAGGGTTGTATGACAAACACCACTAACTGCCTCTTTTTCTCACACATGTCAATGTTCATCCAGTGCACAAAATACTCATTTCTAAGGTCGAGTCGATCCGAGGAGCCCTACGGATATGTTCAGATATTACTTGGCTCTGACGTTGTGCTGTGGCTTGGCTATTAATCAAATCCGGGCCACAGAGATGATAGCATTGTGCCACAAATACACAACGTCCGCAAAAGGAAATGTGAGCAGCATTTAACAATATATAAATACATCACTTCAACTTAAACAAACTCGCAATAACAATTATCTTATTATACATAGAAATAGAGAGTTAGACCTTGACAAACAATAATTAGTTATGTTTGAGATTATCTGGAGAGTATGGGAATTACCTTCAAATATTTCACTTGGCTTAGCTCAGCTGGATAATACGTAAAGATAATGTATTGTTCACCACACAGTGAAATTGGAGCAAGTGTGCAGTGGTTAGCGCGGAGACAACTACGGACTTGGGAAACTGAGTTAAATTCCCAACCACAGTTCACACGAGTGGTGACTGATATATGAACCAATCCTAGACCTTCCCCATTCACAAACCCAAACTCACCAGCATTGTGAAATATGGTCAAACACCCTCCGTGACTTACGACATAGGGCAGCATTCTTTTTACTAGTGAAGCCATTCGGTCCAATAAATGACTAGTACTCGACATGATCAACGTAAAATGTCATTCAAATAGGCAATGGGTGAATCATCGTGTGAATGAAGACACCAAAAAGGGATGATTAGCTTAACAATAATGAATGTGGGCACAATTGTGGATGCATGTCTATGTTTTTTTTTAAATGTCCAGTGTTTTCAGTTTCTATATTTATATGATCATTTAAAACAAATGTAAGTCTTCAATTATTTCACGGTTATAACAATGTGCCCGGAGCATTACATTACAGTGCCTGCTCACACCATTATTACATCACTTCACAATTCCCTCGATCTTCCTTCACCGTCAGTCAAGAACATTTGTGAATCACTTCTGCCTTTTACCACCCACATTTTCAGTAGAGCAGTGCTCCTGCACAGTGTGCTAATTTTATATTTACGGCGTTGAAACCGCAAAAAACACATTGTGACATCTCCGTTCTTTTCACCTGCTATGGCTTCTACGTCTAAAAAATGCAGATGTTCATTAAAAAAAAATACCTAACTTTGTACGTAAAACACTCACCGACATACAGAAGACAGTACACATACAATCCCCTCCAACTGACTTATAAGCACCAAGCTTGGTGTAGCTATGCAGAGATTCTTCAATTCGCAAAATAAAAAAAATATATCTGTCCGATGTACCTTCGGGTTGTATCGCGTGTACAGCACAACCTTAAAGAAAACCCCCCTACGCAATATCACAATTAAAAAGTTAGGAGTTCAATCCCGGTCAGGGGGTCAACTCAGCCCATCAGCCCACCGACAATTGATCAAATGTATGAATCTCAAAAAAGATAATTGTTCCCACGGAGAGTTTGACCCCTTTAACGACAAAGTAAATGTCAACTGCGGCACAGAGACCACCAACGAAAATAAGTGCCACTCAATAGCACATTTGGACATCCGAGACACCACTGCATTTTGAATAGAGTAAGGTGAACGTAAAATTCAGCAATTACTCGTTCATGCTATGGCTGGCAGAAGGGTCTTCACTTGAAGGCAGCTCGAGAGAGAAAGAGAGAGCCATTCTTGCAGGATATATTGGCCTACTCTTCCATGCTGGTCAGATGTCACACGCACGAGCTTGCTCGTTGACTCCACGTGGCTTCAATCTGTTCTACTCCTGACGCCCTGGCCGGGAGAGGCAGGGGAGACTGAACAAACGCGCGCATTGTTTCAGCTGCCGCGCCGGGAGGTCGAATTGAGCAGGCGAGCCGAGTAGTTGCTCACCATTCAACTTTGACAGCCGCGCGCATCCCCCGAGTCAAATAAAAAAACTCTCGAGGGTGCAAGCGCGTGCCCGCGCGCGTGTTCGTGTTCTGGACGCACGTGTTTGATTGCGAAGAAGCTGGTTCACCGGTCCAAGCGGCAGGTGCAGCAGAACAAAAGTGAATAAGGAAATGTTGTCCGTGACTTCGCACAGTCCTCCTGTTCCCTGAGAAAGCGTGACCTGTAAATGGGGACTGCAAAGGTGACGTCCAATAAAATATGCTTGCATAACCTTCTATTTCAATCTGCGCCCTGCACAAATGTTAATGGCAGCCGAGCCAAGCAAGGGGAGTGCTGTACTTTATAATGTCATCACGCAGCCAGGGTGTGATGCCACTTGTCTACGTGATCACGTCCAGGGTGTAACCCTCAAACGCATCCGCTTTATCGAGTGCACAGAGCCAGGGTGTAATCAGTGCTGTTGTAATAAATGGTTTAATATTTAATTATAATCGTACTCTAGTCGAGAGTTGATTAATTTCATTTGGCACTTGCTGTCAGGTTAGATTACGTTACCTATGTGTCTGCAGATTCCTTGCCACTGATTGATATCTGTACTGATATGATTTGTAGGAATGGCTGCGTGATTTCATAATTACAGCACATACGAAAAAACTATACTGTCCTGTGAAGCATATTAGGTTGAAGCTTTTTTTCAAATGTTTTATCGAATCAATACATTATTATTTTATTCGTATATTGTGCTGGATTATATATACTGTACCGCAATGGGTTCATATAACTCATACAGCCACTAGAGGCACTACATTCACTACAATGGTTAAAAGGGGAATTCTTGGATGCCTTAAACTCTGAACAATGACAGGTCATCGCATTGCTAGCGAGACAAACCATTGCATTATAAGGGTATACCTTTGCATACATATCTACAGTAATGCGTACTTGTATTCTTGAATTTATCTTAATAATATAGATTAAAATTATTGGTTCTTTCGGTTAAGTCACGTAGAAGGGAAACAATAAAATAATTAAAATAAAAAATAAAAAATGTAATGAAAATATTTTAATAATATTCTTGGTTCTTTCGGTTAAGCCACGTAGAAGGGAAAGAAAAAATATATTTTTATTATTTTATTGTTTCTCTTCTACGTGACTTTGCCGAAAGAACCAAGAATATGAATCCCTGCAGTCACGAAAGCTTTAAATCAAAATTCTATATAGATTAAAACAAAGATTGTCAAAATGTATTCAAAACAAGTATACATTAAAGTAGGGCTGATATTAAAGTCATGTTTTACATTCTACCCAGTAGTTTTACAATATATAGCAGCACAATGCAATACATAAAACATCATCATAATCATCATGGCAAATAATACATATGAATTATAATTTGCAGCCCTCTATAAATCTACGACTAGATGAAGGCCTCCCAATGCCACGTCAGTCGTGGGGTTGTTTTGACCATACTTCACCACCACACTGATCAGTGATGGGTTTGTAAAGGGTGTATCCAGGCATGGTTCAGATATCACATTAAATAACAAATGCATAGTACACAGTACGTTTAGTGGGACTTGTATATTAAAGGTTACAAAGTAACACTATGATATTCTGGACATATAATATCCGATCTTTAAAATTACGTATACAGCATAAAGTGTTTATAACACGTCATAAATACACTTCTAAGTGCAAATTACGGTGACTGTTATTACAGATGAAAAATATTCCTACAAAAAAATTATAAGGCATGCATTTACAATACTAAAGATAATAAGATAACAACACTTAAGACATCAGACTGCCGAACTTTACATATGGTATAGTAATATTCTTATATAACCTCTCATCATATTGCTAATTGACATGAACCATACATTCATTTTCACTATTTTGTTATTTTGTATAAATTACCTTCCAGCAATACTAACAACTTGGTAAGCTTACCAAATATTACATTTTGCAATTGATCTGAGATTAAATATATTACAGAGAACGGTAGTTCGGTTCAACGTATACTGCAGCAGTAAACCATCACTACATTCAAAACTAATAATAAACGGCACGAACATGAAATTGGACTTGCCTCTCGGGAAGCCTCTTAGTCTTCTGGCGAATAACAATGGGCGAGTTGGGGTTTTGTGAACGGCCAAGTGGATTTCCCAGAAAGAAGGAATTGTTTAACATTTGCATAACGTCTTTGATGTCCTCTTCATTTTGTTTGTCACTGACATTAAAGCAACACATGCAGAAAATATGTTGTATTGCACACTCATGCCATTGCACCAATTACGTAAAATTCATACATGCCATAAAAAGATACATTTATAGGTCTTGATAACACTGACAAATGTTGCTCTAAATACAACTCCTGTGCCAACACAACCATAAGACGAATCAAAGAAACCGTTTCATTATTTTTTCAAGACAACAATTTAAAAATGATCAAGCGTATAATTAACCTACAACTGTTGTTTAAAGGGTCGCGCCTCGTGCTGTTTCCACGGTGTAAACTACAAGTACTGAATGGGCACACGTTATGCAATTATAAACCGCATTGCGCGCACACGGAATGCGTGTGCGGTTTATTTTTATAACTCACAGTTCAAACTCAATGAGTCAGTGTGACTAGAATTAGAGCTACGAGGGATCCCCTCGACGTGGATTTTTACAGTTTTGCCTGGGGAGGGTGGCAATCGTCAGGGAAAAATAATAGGTCAACGGCTTGGTACGTTTTTCACGAATGTATGCTATCTCAAACTTGATTTGAAGCTTTCGTGACTGCGGGAATTACTCTTTGATTATTTCGGTAAAGTCGCGTACAAGCAATCGTCATCAGGTAAGAATGAATGAGAAAACAAACCTATTAAATCTTGATTTGAAGCTTTCGTGACTGCAGGAATCCATACTCTGTGGTTCTTTCGGTAATGTCACGTAGTTATTTTACCGAAAGAACCAAAGAGGAGTATAAACCTAGTAAACTTAGAAATATATTGCAATGCAACACAGAGAGTCGGCTAACACAACAGTCAACACCCTACCTGGTTGATTACGTTCTTCCAAAGATTGATCAATTTGAGAGAGAGAGACAAAACACAGACACGGAGACACACAGACAGACACACAAGCAGAGAGAGACAACACAGAGAGACACAAAGAGACACACACACACAGGCACACAGAGAAACAACGCCTCTGTGTCGAGGCCTTAAATAGAGAGAGAGGGGGGGGGGGGCAGAGAGAGACTTGTGTGGAATGTGTGTGCCTATGTGTGTCTCTCTCTGTGTGTCTCTGTGTTGTCTCTCTCTCTCTCTGCTTGTGTGTCTGTCTATGTGTCTCCGTGTCTGTGTTTTGTCTCTCTCTCTCAAATTTAGCAATCTTTGGAAGAACGTTACTCAACCAGGTAGGGTGTTGACTGTTGTGTTAGCCGACTCTCTGTGTTGTATTGCATTATATTTCTAAGTTTACTAGGTTTGTTTTTTCTCATTCATTCTTATCTTATGACGATTGCTAGTGTTGCAATAGAACCGTCGTATTATATTATTTAATTTATTTTCTTTCTACGTGACTTTACCGAAAGAACCAAAGAGTATGTTTTCTATCTCATCATGGTAATTTTACCAGTTTGTATTTATATATATATTACAATCAACTAATGACGTTCAGTAGTAAAGCCAACTTGTATCTTCACTCTGCAAACATGTGGAGATGCATCACAGGAAATTCCGTTCATGGACTTTGAACTAAATGTAGACACTCCCCATTTGCTCATTTAATTACCCACATTGTGACTAGTTATGCCGTTTATATTCACGTGACATTGTTCTTTAAAAAAAAATATATATACATCATTTGAACGTTGCTCTTGAAATAGTCTCAATACATTATGTATGACTCCGGGACAAGTGACAAACTTGACGACGTAATTATTCTAGAGGCGCAAAATGGATCGATGCCTCGGTGTACATTGGTCAGGCAAAAGGTAACGTAAACAACTCTTGTGGACAATTGTCTGCAAAAGGACTTCGCGTTCAGAGAAGTCGTGACACTATTGAATCATCGCGCAATGTTTGAGCTGAACCACATTGCGTCCGTTACATCCAGTTTAATGGTCACACAAAAAAAAGACGTGTAGGGATGTTCTTTTGTTGAGTATACATGGTTTGTTTTACTTCCCCCACACCTCCGATTAGCACGATTGGCTACGTATGATGCGAAAGAAGATCACCATAAATACGTACATGATATGAAAAAAAATCAATCTGGAATTAGGGTTATATGTTATTATATGATACTGGTGGAACCAAAGAGCTTTTGTTGGCGTTATGAAACGGATGAAATATTATTAGAGTGGAGTTTAATTATTGTAATGATAATTGATGCATGCCATTGTGTGAGTACAGTAACATCAGAGGGTCTTGCCTCAGAACTTAAATCTAAAAAAACCACAACAGATTAGAAGACAACTCCCGCCTCACATAGACATTTGCAGTATATATTATAATATTAACGATGGTGGTGTTGGTCTGCCGCCCCTGTGTGTGTGTGGTGAAAATTGAGTGGCGAGAATTGGTATGGTGAGTCGTGATTTTAAATCGCGAGTGGTGAGTATTCAGTCAGCGGTAAGTGATCGGCGGCTTCTGAGCAAGTATTAGGTGAGTGTCAGGTGATTTGTGAGTGTCCAGTGAATGAAATTATACATGGGACAACATAACGTATTAAAACATAAAGCCCCCACCCCCCACAAAGATCCAGTGGCTCGCATCAAAAGTTCCATGCTGTGAAGTAAAAGAAGCTACACACAATGTTTCTTTCGGTAAAGTCACGTATGTGGAAATATCCTAAAATTTTATTAAAATAAATCAATCACGACGTTTCGACCGCAATACAAGCGATCCTCATCAGGTGTAAAAAAAAACAAATCGACATCAACGCAACACATAGAGAGCGTCAAACTGTACGTTGATGTCGATTTGTTTTTTACACCTGATGAGGATCGCTTGTATTGCAGTCGAAACGTCGCGATTGATTTATTT